CACCCTGTGACAGGACACAGACATCCAGGTTTCAGCAGTGCAAGCGATGGCCATGCCTGCATCCTGCTTTTTTCCTTCTGCTGAATTATGTTCAACGGTTTGTAGATAACAAAACATGACATGAGGCTGGAGCAAATCCTGTCACACCTCTCTGAATGAATTATTAACAGGGGTTTCATTCTTCTCTCACTGCTTCTGCTCTTACACCAGCGTGGTGCCATTTGGTCTGCTGGAATCACTCCTGTTTTGCACTGAGACAAGAGAGAGGACTTAAAGACCTGAATACATAAAGGCAAGCTACTATCATAAATTCATGTCAGAAGTCCAGCTGCAAACCTTGCCATGGAAAGGGCTGAATTTCTCTTGCAACTAGGAACAGCAACATATATAGCCATGTATGAGAAAAGGTTTCATACTTCTTGATATCCAGCAATGGCTTTATAGGAGAAACCACCTTCCAGGTGACTTCTTTAGGGATAACCTAGAACCTGAGCCACCCTCTGCCCTAAGCCACAGTGGTGCAAACCTATACTTTGTGGTCCAGCTATAGATTTGGTGGCCCAGCTCTCCTGGTCTCATGGGACACCTTTTCAGCCGAGGCTGATTCAGATTTTAAATCCAGAAACAGACTTGCACAATGCGTTAATCCTCCCTTTGCCACAGCAGAGCCCACCAGACTTCCTGCAGTAATTTCAGGCCCAGGCTTTAACTCCTGCCAAGCCTGCGCACAGGTTTTGCAAAGACGTCTAATTTACAGTGTCATGATTTCAAATAATGGACAAAAACTTTATTATTAGATAATCTATTCCTGGTGTCCTTTGCCCTCACTGTTAGAAACAGTTGCTGTATTTTTAGGTTGAATTTGTTGAACTTGAGGCGCTAGTCATCTGTTGTTAGGCATCTTCTCCTATCATGCCAGGCTTCACTACAGGTCAGTTGCCACTAAGCATTGCTTTGGGTAATTAAAAAAACAGAGCTTCTTTCTAATTGTCATCATTCCTTCAGATTTCTAATCATGCTGCAGAGACTTTGCCATTTTTAACACCCCACTTCCAGCAGTTTCGTGGAATTCCAGTATCGAAGCACTGCTCTCTCCCTCTGTTTGCTGGGTTATTTCCCTGCATATTGAGGGATTGTATTAGTCACCTCATTTATCGGACCTGCCCAAAAGCTTGTGTCCTGTTGAACAGTCATCCCAATCCCTAAGTCCTTCTCAGCCGCTGTTTTCCAAGAAACGTCCCCCAGAGTGACCTACTTTCCTCTTCCCGAGATGTGGTTTTATTAAAATGCATGTTGTACCATTGATCTGTTTTTCACTGTGATCCAGATCAGTCAGTATAATTCCCTTATCCGTAATATCACTTACTACTCCGCTCACTTTGTGTGTTGTCAGCAAAGATTTTATATTTTCTTCCAGATGCTGTTAAAGTCCAGATTAAGGACAGTTCTTATTCTGAAGGATCCCTCACCATGAGACACTCATCACTGAATTTACAGTGTCATCACTGTTTACAATTACTTTTTGAGATCCATCACCCGTTTTAAATTAATTTAAAATATGTTTACTTGGCTTGGTACAAAGCTCGTGTTTTCATCACAATGTCCCATGGTATCAGATTCCTCTCTGAAATCTAAGGATATTATATCAGTGCAGTTACCGTCATCAGCATAATTTGTAATCAAATCAAAGTACCATATCAGTTTTACAAGAACTATTCCCATGAAATCATGCTAACTAGCATTAATTATGCTATTTCTTTCCTGCATGTATCTTGTAGCAGCCTCACCATGACTTTGCCTAGTATCATTTTCACATTAAATGGTCTATCATCATCCCACTCGTCCTTTCAAAATACTGCAATAACCTCCCTTGCTGGGAAGAAACTTGCAGGGAAGTGGCACCTCTGAAACAATTCCCTGATGGATAACAAATGAGGAGACATGGGAGACTTCATGATTCGGGACAGGCAGACCTAAATTAATTTATGCTGGGCTCTAATATGGCCTGGAAAGTGGTGGGTGATGCAGGGTGGTGGCATGTGCATGGCACCCCCAGGGTCTGCAGTAACTGTCAGGTGGGATACTGGTCTTACTGGGGTCTTTTTTGGGGACAGAAGGGCAAGATGGCAATAGTTCAGCCTTATTTTGCAGACTTCTCATGGGATGGGAGCTGCTGAGACTTGTGTCAAACTCAGACAGGTCCCAGCCTGTTCGAAAACAAGGAAAGGACTGAAGTCTGATGGTAACAGGTTCTCTTGGCCCTCCGAGTGCTACTCTATGCCTTTGCCTCAGGACCAATTGTTTCCAAAATTTAGGTACAGCATCTCTTACTGCAGTATAAATGAGAACTTTCTTGTTCCTGTTCTAGCCATGCAGAAATCTTTCAGTTATTCAAGAAAAAGACATTATAATAGAGCAAACTATTATTATTTTCTTACTGTCAGTGTTTGCTTCTCAACATTATCATTATTTAATCTATCACTGCGCTGACAATTTTCCTGTGCATTCTGGAGCATATGAACTCCTAATAATGAAAGGTCTAACTGTCCCTAGTCATGTTAAGTGTGGTTAGAAAAACTAAAAATAAAATGATTTGATTTTCCAATAGCACGTATTCTCAATTACACTTTATCATAGTTTACAAGCTAATTCACTATCTCTGATAGCTCAGAAAGACTGAATATATTTCAGCTCCAGCAATGATACAGGGAAGAAAAGGGATGTTGACTCAGGGGCCAGGGAAGCCTACAAGTATGAGCATGTTAGGAAGAAAACTTGCTGGGCTGATCTGTGTGTCTACGGCATGTAAGATCGCCACCAAGCCAACCTCTTGCTATTCTCAGAAAACCTCTTGATAGAGATGTGAACTGTTTCACGTTATTTCTTTCCTATTTCAGTCTCACTTTTCCAATGTTTTGGGCTAGTCTTCCCACTGCTTTTTAGGTTTGAATCCAATTTAGTTAAACTGATGCAAAGTCATGAGTGAACATTCTTATGTCAGCTTAGAATATGTTAAAGGGGTTTCGCCTGAACTTGTAAATCCACCAGTAGAAGCTAAGCCTTCATAAGCCAGATTTAAATTGATTTGAGAGAGTCCGTGCACAAATCACTCTAGTAATTAAACTAGTGCAGCTTTTGCTGATATCAACGTTTGCTCAATTTGCGTATGTTTAATAAAGACTTGGAGTGAGGTCATCATATGACATAGGAGTGAAAGCTCTAATTAATGTCGGTAGCACAACATCGCTTTGTGCCAGCTAAGGATCTGCAGATTGCTTTTGTTTTATTTTGTGAATAACCTTTAAAATATTGCCTGTTTGCTGAAAAGATCGTGGTGAACAAAGCAATTCAGGTTTGGGTGCCCAGATGAATAGAGCCTCTTGAATCCTTTTGTCTTAGTACTAGCACAGAGGAGAGTGGTCTGCAACAAGATTTGTCTGATCTTCACCCACAAAAATAATGTGATTTAGATAATCACAAGGTCTGTAGGACAAAGCCATAGATCCCCAATTCTGGTCATCCATAGAACAGGCAAAATATGGGTACAGGGTTTTCATAAATTGCTCTATCACCATATTTCCTGGATTATATCTATCTTGGTCATTAGGCTCTCTAGCCTTCAGTCTGTCTTACTGCAAGGGTATTGCAATGAGAACAGTTAATTGCTAGGAGCTCAGTGCATGAACTACACATTTTAGTCACTGATGATTCAGACCAAAATTTTGTCTACGGGAAAGCTTCACCCTGAATATACCTCAGTATGAAAGCTGTAGCATTTTCTTTGGCCTAGTAGAGAGATTTGTGATCATCAGACAATGTAAGTTGTTTTACGTATAATTTTGTCACAGATTTGATTTCTCTTACTATGCAATCTGCAAGATTAGCAGTAACCTCAGCTCATACAGAACACAGTTGTCATCATCTGCAAGTCATGCATGGTGCAAGGAGTTAAATAAAGGGCTTATCTAGACAAGAATTGCTTAGTGTAGCAGGTAGGCTTAACAAATAAACAGGTATGCTGTGCAGATATAGCCACGCTGGCAAAGGAATGCAGAAGGG